ATTAATTGGCTACGTAGCCAAAAATCCTTCACAACACAGAGTTGATCTTCCACATTTTCACATTTATTGGGAATACCGTGCAAACAACCATAACGCAGTGCAAATGATCCTGCAGAGTTGCTGGTACTTCAGTAAATTACCGGCGATCCTTCTCTAGGGCGAGTCTCGGTGGTGGGGCTCAGCATGAAGGATGGGTTTAATGGCCTGATAATTAAACCTGCAGCAAGGGCATGACATGAGCATCAAGCTCGAACGTCTCACTGTTCTCACTGATAACACTCATCCATCTGCTGACATTTCTCGAGTGTTATTCGCGAACAAATTCGAGTGAAAATCTGAAAACTCATCAACATTATTATTAAGATAATGAAACATACTAATGCTGTTGGCTTGAAATGCATCGACTAACTTTCCAGTACAGTGCATTTCGTTCTGTTTTTCGAATCATGTGAAGGAATTAAAATTGTTGTCAACTTCATTTTATGAAAATAATTGTAATACAAAGCTAAACTTGGGCAGCATTTAAACAGAGCAAACTTAAACTTTGCACTGCTTTATATTTCACGATGACCTGTCTACACAAATTTTAGTTCTACGTGCAAAAAAAAAAACAAATTTCAATTTTTTAATGACCCATGCTGGCAACAAATACCAAAATTTACATAAAAATGGAAAAGGTTGATTTAGTAAAATAATTAATTGGTTTTCAAAATCATGTAGTGCTGTTTTTTCACCCTTACATTTAAGAGTTTAACCAAGGTGTATTGAAGGTTACTCAGGGCAACAACGCTATAATGTTCATCTTCAGTCTATAATTTCAAGGCACTATGGCAATAAAATGAATTCTAAACAATGCGTAGTGTTCTATTGACAACTAGTGACAAATGAGACTCTAAAATTTCATTTCGAGAAAATATTTAATTTCACAAAATCGCAATTCAGGAAATTAAGGTATTAAAAAAGATAATTAATTCTTAAACGATGCACAGTCTGTGAACTGAAATTGTTAGAACCGAGGCAGTTTTGGTTAACCATGAACAGATGCAGCATGTGAGACCATATGGCCGGCAGCGTCAATTGGCATCACGGAGTAAAGAATTGAACACGGACGATATGCCTAATGCGACGCTACCAGCTACTGAAGAAGTGCTTATACACGGGGAAAATTTTAGACGATATTATTTGGGGCAAATACGTTCCCTATCTTGTTTTACCTGATGAAACTTAACCACGAGGATAGTATTAGCTATACAGTATTTTCTCATCCGCAAGCGCCAGTGCGTCGTTTCAAACAGTCGCACGAAGTCTACGCTCGGTGATAGAATATTTACCGTACGTGGCAGTTATGTTGAAGTTGAGGAATCTGGTAGAATTGTTGCGATTCTAGCTTAGAAAACGAGAAAAAAGTCAATCAGAGTAGAGAGTGGGTGAGAGACTGAGTATAGCACGGACAGATAATATGGAGCATCATCGACTTTGTTCCGTGAATTCGTGAAGCTGTAAAAGTAGTAGAATGGTATCGCTTTCCAGCGCAAAGCTCTTCACATCTTGCCACTAAATTAGCCCGATACTTAAAGTGGATAATATTTGCTGCTAAAATTATCAGCTAAAACTTTTCCTATATATAAGCATTAGCCTTGTACGAATATCACACCGCGAAATTTTTTTATAAAATTAATATTACAGGCGATAAAGAAATGCTGAAAATCAGTAAAATAGTTGGAATGACAAATTCAGATAAATGTAAGACGAAAAATTTACACACACCTGAGTTACAGTCTTCACTCAGTGTGCGAACGAAATTTTGGGAAAGGCAAATTTGAATGCAAAGAAAAAAATATCAATAATTGACCAATACTTTAGACAGAAATAAAGTTAAGTACACCAGGAGATTGAAACCATAAAAACAAGATAGGAATTGTGTGAGGTAATTTGTCGAAATCTCAAGAAAATATTTTTTATTTGTACAGCATATATTTTCAATGTTACCTTATTTACGATCTCACAATTGAATCCATCAGGGGAACTATTGAGTTTAGCTAATTGCACAAAGCGGATGAAGAAGACGCAATATGTTAAGAACATTCACTTTTGGTTAATTTTTGCATGTGGTAGGCGGTAGCGTTTGTGAATTCAAGCAACAGACTAACGGTGCTGACTTTCGTACAAGAACACCAATAACATCAGCCTCAATTGTCTCAACATAATACCAGTCTGAAATAACGACAAATTCTACATTTACGCTTACGAAAAAAATAATCATGGTCCTCCGAAGACGCTTACGAGTGCCCACTGTTAATACTGTAGATACCGCCCACTCTTTCTCACTGCACCATTGCAATAAACAGGAAGATAGTGTTTGCCAGCGCTTCATCTACGAAACTCAGCGTGCCTACACCCACCACAGAGACGCTGTGAGGCGGTGATAAGAACTAGGGCACGGAGGAAGGACCTAACTGCCCATTGCACGACCGACGCGCCGCCATGAAACAGCTGCAAGAATTTTTTGCTACTGCGATACGACTTCCGTGAACAATTTTGGAAAAAAACTATCTGCAACTGTCATCACCTCGGGAATATGGTGGTGCATTCTATTATTAGAAAAGTGTTTCTGCTAAAAGAAAAAAATATATGCTAGACTCTTTCGCACTATTCTGTTTAGCATTTAACCACACATACTTGAAATGGAAAATTAAACACAACATAAAATGAGATAATCTTTCCAATCTTAAGATATTATAAGCTTCAAATTGTGTGATGTTCAAATACACTGACTCACCGGCATGTAGTTGTGCAGCTATTGTACATCACATATAAGCCTTCGGTAACTCAAATCCAAGGCAAGCAACGTAAAGATGACGTTCGTTGTTGGTCGACCAAACAGTCGCAAATGGATTGCAGGTCGCAGGCTCCTGAGAGCGACTTCTTTCTTTATGAGCGTATCACGTGTCGCAGGTTTAGGCATTACTGTCGCGCGCAGCCTAGCGACGCAATAGGAGTTATCCTGGATCTTCACCAAGGGCATTTCTTGAATATCAAAGAAAATCTCACTGAATAAATAATCCGAAGTATACGCTTCTTCAGACATTAATCATGAGATTATCATCTGATCATAAAATAAGTTCTGCCGTTGAATCTCATAGACCTTCGCAACCTGTGCTGATGGCGGCAGTGACTCGCAATTAAAGCTTTTGCCATCTGAAAAGTCCCTACGTGAGGTACATTGTTTGCTTAGTTTTCAGCAATAATTAGTGATGACTGATGAGTAATCACTTGCAGACGTGTTTGATTGATAAAACTAATCAGAAACATGTTTTTTTGTTGATGAATTTTGGAAATGATTCGATGGGAGGTATTCGAATCCGGTATGTTGATACATTGGTCATATCGATTAGCAAGATGCAGATGATCTTTCACTCGGGGCAGGAGGAAAAAACTAAAAAGTGCTGTTATGTCAGTGCCACCACACCTGTCATCTCTGGCAACTGGTATTATTTTCTTAGTACAAGAGTCTTGCAAAACATCGCCTCAATTAATATAGATAATTAATTAAGTAAACATAGTTCTGAATTAGCTTTTAAAGATTAGGTTCGATTTCAATTAATTATTTGGTTCGGTAATTCTTCATTTTAAGCCATTCATTCATAATACTTTTGCTTGGATGAGGATTAAATGCCTCAAGAAATGTTCTTTAGATTTGAATCGCAACTAATGGCATCCAATCCTTATCGTCAATCCAATGTGCTTCGGTAACTTGCCTTTATAAATGGCCAAGCCGCACATTTAATTAACAGTCGCGTCTTAACCACTGTAGGATAAAAATCATGCCCTGCTTTCTAATCGTAGGATAAGTTCCGTTAGATCCATAGCCAGAAATAACCATATCTAGTAAAATTCGAAATACAAAGGATTTTGATCAATACCTCAATCTCCCAGTCATTTTAAAATTAGTCTGAACGTACAGAATAAAAATTTGGTTGGCAATTGATTTCATTCGGCTAATAACAGTCCCACATCAATGCAATTAATTAAAAGACGAATAATAATGCTTATCACTAGATATTTCATCTGATAATGCTAACAAGAATCTAAAACCGTTCATACTCCATACTTGGGTAATGAGAAATAACCAAGACTGCATTTCAATAAGATTAAACGAACGGCTCTGGTCGATACATTCTTGTCAAAGACGTGGCAACATCATAATTTTGGCTCTAGCACGTGTGGCAATGCGCGTCCAAAGATCACTTCTCAAAACGGTGCTTTTTAAATAATCGCTAATATAGCATAGGACGGCTCTTGACTGACGTCTCTTTCATGCTCAGGCATACGATTCCTCGCATGGAAGCATAATAATTAAAATTGCATCACGAAAGAATGAAATTACGATACATATTATTCGCTCGGTGAACTGGCAAATCAGATGAAAAAATGTTCACAACTCCACGGATTTTTGTCCTTACATTCAAGTTACTATTGGTGCGTAAAATATTTGTACGATAATTACTCAAAGCAATACAATTAAGTGGAATGTAATTCAATTACTCAAGTTCCTCATTAGTCTCACAAGACAGAGCTTAGTCGATAGCTAAATTTTTATTTAAGACGCGACGCTGAACAACGTCGAGATACAAGGCCACCATAACATTATTATTGTGTAACCAATAATAATTCAACCTGTAAATGTTCGCAATTAAATTCCAACACTGATGTCTTCAAAAATGCTTGTGTCCTCAAAATTGCAATGGTTGGAAAAACACATCTATAGGCTCACTTATTCATTAACTTAACATGGAAAATAAAATAGTATGTAAATGAAAGTCACAATTTTTTGGCTAAATAATCTGACGAATTGTTCAAGCTGCAACAATGTTGCATCAGTGACGCGAAAATGTAAAAGGAGTTTCATAAATATCAAAGGGACGGCCCTTTTTATTTTCTTCTGTATCCAGGAATGAGGGTTATTTTTATACATTTTTATATTTATATTTTATACTCACTTGCCGATGATCTCATGCACGTCGTAGACTTCATCGAAAAGGACTTCATCGTCCGCCATGCTTGCACTGCCCTCGTCGCTACTCCAGTCCTCGAGCGCTCCACACTCACACTCAACGCCACTCTCCTGGCCTCCACTCAGCTGCTTGATGAGCAGAGCGCTCAGCTTCTCGCTCAGCTGTTCACTGAGCCCATCGGGGCGCTCACAGTGTTCAACTGCAGTCGACGATCGTTGATCTTTGCAATTATCGTCAGCTTGGTCGTCGTAGTCAGACTGATCTTGATATTCCTGGGGTTCAGGGCTGTCCGGTTCACCAGGCATGGACTGGTGAAACGAAGAGTCGCTGGTGACCGTGACGGATGGAATGTTCTTGGGTGGCAGAGGAGGAGGTGGCCCCTTGTTCTCTGAGTTACGATGGTCGGCAGGCATTACTCGGCGACGATCGGCCGAGTCCTTCCCTTTATACATTGACAGGGATAGTGAGAGGCACAATCCAACTCCACCAGGTGACACTTCCCCACGTGCCCCTCACTCAGTTAGGGGGAGCGCCCTCCCTGACCTCCCTAGGCGCCTCCCCCCACTGATAGTTTTCAAAGTACGATTCTACTGAAGAACAACACCAATACCACCTCCCACCAAACACAAATACACACGAAATGGCAAACTTTACGCAAGTCAGGGTCAAGTTAGAGCTGACCACAGCCAACCATAAGGAGCTCAAGTCTGAGCCCTTGCGTTCGGCACCTGTTCTCAGCACGAACTGCCAGCCCATTGATCGTCGCGGCGGCTCTCCGCTCATGCGCTGCTGGCCTCCCTCGTCCTCCCCAGCAATTCTACGCTCTCGCTCACAGGGCCGCCTCTAGTCCCTCTCTAACTTGCGCTCTCTCTTTTACTCGCTTGCTCTCTTTCCAGACCAACGGAGCTCGGGTCCGTACGCCAAAGAGGCGGCACGAACGCTTGTCGCCAGAAGGTGGCAGTGGGCACTCTTGGCTCGGCGTCGTCGTAACGTTACTAGGAGCCAATACTGTTGTCTTTCTTCAATTATTCCGCGACTGTATCTCTTACGCGGTCAGTAAGAGGGGCAAGAGGAGGAAGGACGGCAAAAAAATTAAACTAAGATATTGTCATTCATATAGAAGTAAAAAAAAAAAACATAAATTGCAGCAGCCTTTACAATAAACTTGCGCACCTTAGTGATGCTGCACTACTAGGAAAGTGCTGAAAAAGCACGATGTGGCACTGAGTGGCAAGACAAAGGAAGGATAAATGGAAAAGAACTGTTCTACGTACGACCAAAGCTTCCATGATGGCAAAAATCAAAATAGAAAACACAATACGTATTCATTATTTCTCTTGCAAAAGTCATTGGAAATTAAAAATTTTCATCAGCGGCAAATTAGAAGCTATCTCGATCAAATCTTGTAAACAAAAATATAGCCTTGGAAGTTTAACCAACACGTCATTCGAATTAGAACTTACGAAAACTGAGTGAAACTCTGACGACAAAAGAAGATAAATCAAAATTAACTCTCATTTTCTCCCCTTAACATGAGTACTGCTAATTTTTCAGACAGTTAAACATGGAGGAAATAAAACAAGTTGCAAAATAGTTTCTTGTAATCTCAACATCCCGGAAGGAAATCATAATATCACACGTTACTCAAGAACAAAGACACAACAATCGTTCAAACTTTCCCAAGAACCTCACGAGCGAAACCCGATTACATTTGGCCGAGTCACTAAAGATGATAGAAAATGCACTTCGAAGTTATCTACGCAGAAATATAGGCAACAAACGCAACTTAGTCTATTTCAAGTACATAATAATCTCCAATGGACAAATCTCAAGATTCGATGTAATTCCGGATAAAAAATGAGCGATCGGATCGTTTCTGGACACCAGTGAGGTTTGTTTGAATCAAATGAATATTCAAAGGTAATTGGCAAAACGAAGAATTGTACATGTCAGTAAAATGTTCAAACACCGAAATCATTAGTAGAACGCACTCAAGGAAGCTTGCCAAAGCATGAATATTTGCTATACAATTAGAAACAAATAAGCAAATGGTCGTCGAAAAAGTCTAGAGGATATATATAAAGATATGCGTGAGTGTAATAAAAGTATATATGATAACTATTACTCTACAAGCCATCGTTTTGGCAGAATCTCGAGAATGTAAAAAACTAAAATATAATCTGCTCTAATCTAACTTATGGAACTGCGTTGTTCTTTCTAACCAGTACACAAAGTAACTTAATTAACGGATATCATCGTAACTAACACACAGTATTATATTATATCTTTACTCCCCATACACCCCACATTTAACCCGTCACGCTTAACAGAAATTATAATTGCGCTCTGATCAAGATAAAATTCAACATGTTGTATTTGTCGAATGATTTTTGAGAAATAATTTGCGAGATTAACGATTGGTGACATGCGGTTTGTTAGACGTCAAATGAACGATGATTGTTAGTGAAGAAAGGACGCACATGAACAGGAGAATTCGAGGAAATTTCCTCTTTTAGAGTAAGGGAAATTAAACACTCAAGGGGGCAATGTACCACTTACCACTCTGATAAAACTCCGGTATGACCGCTTGGTACAAACGCAGGGAGAGAAGGATGGAAGATTGGCCTAAACGCACGTAAAGTCAAAATAATGGGACTTGTACGAAAGATTTGGAAACCGAACTCTTGGGTCAGATGCCAGAACAGATGAATGTAGAACCATTAAATAATATGTATGCAAAATCCCGAAACTTCCAAGAATATATGTAAACCTAACCGTGGAACTAACAACCAGTAATTCATGAAGTTCAGTAATTTTGCATATTCGATGAAGGTTTCTATGGCAAAGACGTCACCTGACAAGGAAAACTTAATTCAATAATCAGTGCATAGCGTTAATGATTTTTAAGGAACTCATTAGCACACACTGAGATAAATTGCCGTCAGTTTAGCAAGATAAAAGGGGAATAGCTCACAAAGAATTGTAACTGTCAGGGGATGAGTAGAATTAGAAATTCTTCAGACACAAACTATAGGCATCGCAAAGGTGATTCAATAAGTCGACTGTATTCAGAATGATAGGTCATTATGAACGACAAGCACAAAATAAGAATTATGTGCAATGGAAAAATTAACATCAACTCGCACAAGGCACTGAAAAGCCGCAAAAATGCAGGACCAAGAAGGTTTTTTTGTACAAAGAGGCATAGCGAAAGCCAAATTTATGAGTGAAATATTATCTTTTCATATGTAAATCCGAAATCTTTTCATATGTGTTCCCCAACAAGGTTTTAATTTTGGTAAAGCGAGTTTTTTTTATCTAATTCAAAAGCTGGAGTATTATTGCAATACAAATATTTATCCGTTTTACTATTAATCCTAAGCAAAATGATAGATTATATTATATTCTTATATTAAAGATAGGTTGTCAAATAACACTCTAATCTCATGTAAGCAATAAGCATCAGCAAACATTGTCTACCAAGTTGCACATGTTTCAGTCAAGTGAACAGGTCAACATCAGAATATAAATCAGTAACCCCTTGAAATAAATGCCAATATGTAAATTGCAAGAGCCTTCAGAATTAAATTAATTGCCAGTATATCGTATCAATAACGTTCTCAGTACCTACTTGCAATAATCAACTGTCATTTTTCTTTGCTTCCTTCTAACGTTTCGATTCTGCTGCCATCATATTTAGCCTTGCCCGTTCTACTCTATCCCCACTCCCTACTTCTACAGGCCTATTTGTTTTGCTGCCATCATTTTACTTATTTGTCCTTCTTTCCACCCTCGCTCACGGCCTCCTCCTTGGCTTGGAGCGTTGCTAGCTCTTTCATGAGGCGGTCATACTCTCGGTTGACGCTCTCGGCCTGCTTTAGCGCAGCCTCCTTCTGGGCAAGCATTTTCTTGTTCTCCTCCTTGAGCTGCGTGAGTTCGGCGCTGATGTCCTTGCTGGCAGCTGTGGGGTCCTGCTGGTCCAGGAGCTGCCTGGCAGCATCGCTTGCAGACTTGGCCTGCTTCATGGCAGCCTCAAGCTCAGCATAGCTCACCGCAAGGAGGGAGATCAGCGACACCAGACGGTGCAGAACACTGCAAAAAATATTTATTTCAAGAGAACCTAATGAAAAATGTAACATTCTAAGTAACAATACCATCTCCAATCATCATTCTTTGTTGTTAGAATTCATTAATTTTTTTCATAAGAACATAAAGAAAAAGGAACTCAAGTTGCAGAGTACTTGGTAAGTGTAGGTAAGGATAAGTATTTTCAATTATATACCTCTATACTGGTACCTACAATACATCTACTTACAAGAGAAGAAACAGAGAGATGCCTGAGATGTAAAAATTTCTTTGAGCCCTGAAGAGGCGCATGTGGTGCTGCATCTCAACATCCAGATGTTCGGCATGCCCATGGGTTGGGCTCTTGATTTCACCGGAATACTTGTGCATCTCTCGAATTGCATCTTCAAAGACAAATTTATAAAACAGTCAATTCACTGTTGCAATTCACTCAAAATCTCTACAACTCATTTCTATTGCTTTCACATTTCACATATCACAGCTCTTGCTAGATCTTTCATCTGGATCTGACTATTCAGTAAATAATTATTTATAATTGTAACCCAATCCCAATCAAGTTATTTGTAGAAATGATGAACTGAAATTTTAGAACTAGGATATGAATCAATACTAGACTAGTTTTCATCAGTCCTGAAGCAAGCAAGGTGCTGCCATATCCATTTAAATACAGGTACCAATATCAAGATTCAGAATCATACTATACATATACATTTGATGTGTAGAAATCCTTTCTCACCAAGGAACACAAGAACCAGAACAGCAAGGAAGACCATGAAGTAAACATGGGACATCTTGTAGATGCTCGCCAAAAATCGGGACTTGAAGAATGAGTGCCATCTGAATAGAATAGAATTTGTTAACAACCTTATCGAGCATTTGATTTGGCTGGTTCATAAAACATTAAATGCAGGAAGAAGCACCAGTATGAAATGTCTAGACGTTTACATAGCAACTGCTCCTAAGTAATAATATAACTAATAAAATGGATGAAAATATTTCTTCCTGAAAGCCAGCAATTGAAAATTTCTTCAGTTTGTTATCAGAAATGATGATTACATAGTAGAATTGAATCATATACATTATTGTCATTCCATTATTACTATTAGCTTATATTGATTATTAAATATTGGCCCATAACTAATAATTTTATTTCTATTGATTCCTATGGGGAAATTGGCTTTGGCTGGAAACAGCTATCAAATAAATGGTTGAGGTCAATATTTAAAATTTTGCTATTGTAGATTCACAGCAACCTTCAGATTAAAAAGAAATGTATAATTAAAATTCTCAATGAGGAGCATCAACATGGAAGTCTAAAAGTGATGTATAATATAGTACCTTTTAGGAGAGATGATAGGCAGAAGCAGCAGGAAGGTCAGGGCCAACTCCGTGTACATACACCCAGCAATCAAGGTCCACTGAATACTCATAATTTCTGTCTTAAAGTCAACAAGATAATTCAATAAGGAAAACTGCGGTCTGAAACAAAAAAATGCACATCTTATAAGTCAGCAACATGCATATATATGGGGGATAAAAAGGGTTAGCCTGATGAGACACTGTCAACCCAACCAAAAAGGGTTTATGGCAGGTCAGAAAAAAATTTATTCCCTCTATGCCTGGAGAGCATAGGGCATATACCAGAAATGAAGACAAGAAAAGAGTTCAATTTTTTTAGCATACATGAATGTCTGACTGTGAAAGATATTTATGGTCAAGATATTTGGGTCATTTCAAGCGGTCCATCAAGCCAATTTGACCTCAAATTGACATCCATTGTTAATTCCAGGTGCTATCACACAAGTAATTGAGCTATCAACACCATAAGTTTGCTATGTACTACTTATTTGAATAGATATATACATTTGTCAAACACATTGCAACTTGTTCCTAGGCTTCATCAATCATCAAGGCCATTTGCTATGTTGTTCACCACAGTTTTATTGTAGATTATTTATTTATTATGTAATTATGTAATGTAATTATTTTATTTATTGTAGACGTCTTGGGGCTGTTCACTGAAGTTATTGCATTTGAGGACCCCTCGCAGTAACTGGAAATAATTTATTAAATTTTCAAAAGTTGAGAAAGTTGCTCAGCTGCAATCCATACATTTGTGTCTTCCAAGTTTGACTGCCTCAGGGTGTCAGGAACAAAACTTCAGCCATCAAAGGTTGTTGTTGTTGTAATTGCCCATCCTGGTAGTGGCAACTAGGGAGGGGAGGTGATAGGTCATTTTTTCCGGGCACTCGGTACCACTGGTAGTTCTACGACCATCACTGGCTTGCTGACCCGCCAAAACCATTTGATTGCATTACACAACACCCTGGACAAGCCAGGTACTCATTTATCAACCAGAGTTGGATGAATGGCTGAGTTGACCATGAGCTGAGCTTCCCGGTAGAACTTGTCCTCAGTGGGACTTGAACCCGGGAGCTGGGTGCGAGAGACAGAGTCTCTCACCACTGCACCACCACAGCTCGTCATCGAAGGTAGCAAGGTCCTCTCTCCAAATATGTGTCTCCCAGACCTGCAATCAATACACCAGGCATACATTAAAATTTGGGACACTGTCATAGGAAAACCGAAAACCTCCATTGGCCATATATTCAATGTTATAACATAGCGACAGCTCATGCTCTGCTGACAGCGTGGTCGGTTAGATTGGTACACAGTCAGAGGTGGGCAGTAGCGCGCTACATGTAGCAGCCACTACATTTTCAGTAGCAGTAGCGGTGCTACATTTAAGCAATTGTAGCGGTAGCGCCCGCGACATATTAAAGTAGCAATACGAGGTTTTGCCGCTACAGCGCTACCGCTACATTTATAGATAAAGCCTTTAGATTTTACTTAATAGTATTAAATTTTATTTAAAAACCAGCTTGATACATAATATAAATTACAGAATAAAACTGTACAAAAGATTTTGGATAATGTTGCCAACCTCGGTCTGTTACTAGTGCAGTGTGGAATTCTAGAGGGATATTAAATTAACCAGTACACATAGCATATTGGAAAGCAGGACATGAAAGCTTGGAAAGCCCAGGAACTTTACACTTTCAGTCAATTATTTACATATCCTATCCCTTTCCAGAATTCCAGCTGTGAATTTGGTTGATGGGATTGTGATTTTTAGCCCCTTTCAGCTTTCCAGCTGTGATTGGTTAATGGAATTGTAATATTATCTGCTTTCTAGCTGTGATTGGTTGATAGGGATGCTTTCAAGCTGTGATTGGTTGTGCCCATAAGCCCCGCCCCAAATATGGTATATGTACTACAGTACTGGTTAACTAAATAATTAACTTAAACTTGATCATTACAAACGAAGGGGCATGGAAAATTTTCAAAAATTCCATTAAATAAAATAAAAATATCTATCAAACTAGAGACATCCAAATAATTCTATAACAAACCTAATATACTATACAATTGAAACAGTTTGTCCACTTTTGATCCACCTTTTCATTTATAGTCAGTCACCTGGCAGAGCACTGTATCAAAGGAAAGCTTTTCACCTTGGGTGGAAAGCTTTTTTATAAGTGAACTTCCATTCTTAGAATTCCAGCCTGTACTAGTGTCAACATGTTAGTTGTTACCAGAAGTGGGCAGTAGCGCGCTACACTTTCAGTAACGGTAGCAGTAGCGGCGCTACATTCAAGCAATTGTAGCGGTAGCGCCCGCTACATTTAGAGCATGTGGCGGTAGCGGCCGTTACATTTCAAAGTAGCACTGCCCAGCTCTGTACACAGTCTTCCTTGACTCTCATCAAGAGGCAATCTGAGAGTGTCTTGCATGGCAAATTGAATGTATGGGCAGCAGCTAACGCGGGAAGATTATCATCTTTGCAGGCTGCCAGAGCCCTGTCCATGTCCTTCTGTCTCCATAATCTTAACTTAGCTCTTTTCCTTTAAATCATTTTGAGTGATACAAAATAATTATATTAACATAAATACTTGAACAAATGCACATACAGTAATTAGGTAATACATAATATAATATCATAAGACGTGGGTTTTATCTTTACAAGTATGTTTATGCTGCTGAAATACACATTTTGTATTATTACAAGAGATTTAACCAAGTAGTTCATCTTATTAAGCTTATTTAGTAGAAAGACAACTCAGGTCTTGCCTGTTCAAAATGTACTCAGAACAGCAGCTCCATGCATGATGCTTCAGTTGCGCAACTCTAATGGTTGCAAGAACATCATGCTCAACATTTGAAGTTGTTTACAAGGTTTTAAAAGTCTAATTGCTAATTATCTGAGAATGAATGTGGCTGATGAATGCTTCTTACCTTATTTAAGGCCTAATTTCAACACAATTATCATGTTGTAGGTATAAATAGCAACAATTATTCATCTTCAAATCCTGCCTCTTAAAGCAAATATCTAACACAAACTTTGCTATTTCTCCTAAAATTACATGCACACAAGTCTTGGGGTATGCTTAGAATAGATTATAAACCATATTTCAACATCATTAAAGTCAGGAGGATAAGCAAAATGAACCTCTTGTTACTGCATTTCACCTCAGAATGACCCCGGGTTTGTACGGAAAACATTTTATTGGCAATAGAGCATCGCCCAAATGCGGTTCATGCAGCAGTGACAGCACTAGGAAAAAACTTTGTTTTGCTTGGAGAATTTTTGTCATGTTGATTTGTAGTCTCTAAACTATTGACAAATTAATTGTCAGAATTTCAGAAATGTAGGTATTATACTATCTTAAGTCAATATTGATAAATGTTCTAGCATTTTCTTATGATAATCAGATAATGAAATATTCATATTGGGTCCATTTTAAGCAATATTTCCTTTTTCCCTGTAGCATGGCAACTTTAGTGAGGTCAGAGGTGGTATCTGTGACAACATTAGTGGTATTGACAATTTGAAAGTAGACCAGGAATGTTTTAGAATCACTTCATATTTAATTTCCTCATTTACCTACTCAAGATTTAAACTAATATTTTATGTATGCTAATTTTTGTGTCTCTGATACTTTACTGGTCTACTAAGCATAGTGGCAAAGCAGAGAGTTTTTTTAGACTCCGTCTCAAGTTCATTTTTGAGTCCTATAAGTATAAGTAGACCAGTAAGAGTAAAGTATCGTGGATACCAGCATTATCATAGGGTAAACACACTATATTCTGACATTGTGGGTAATTCCAACACTTCTCAACTTTTTCCTTTATATTAAGCTTTGTCTTAGTTCCACGCATGCATAGATGGTTAAAATAGTGACGTCGTACTATTGCGCGCCAGAAACGGCCAGATTTCTGCAAAACACTATGTCTGGCAGGAAAATGTTAAGATCCTCAGAGCCTCAGAGGGAGAGTGGAAGTCAACTAGTGAGAACATCGAAACACGTGTCAAAATTGATAGTTGACCTTGCTCTACCAAATAGTGATAAACTGTTTATGTAGAAAGAAAATTATGGTTTGAGACTTTTAAATAAGTCTGTGAATATATTAGGAATCTTTTAAGTATACTTGTATTTGCTGATTTTAAGTGGTAAATACATTAATAGATGATTAAGTTAAGAGAAGCTTTTAAACACATAAAAACTAATTCCGACACAGCTTGGAATTGGACACACACAGCTCGTTCCAAGCTGTGTTCAAAAATTAAAATTTTCTTGATTAAAAGCTTAATAGCTCTTAATTAAGCTTGTTCCGAGCTGTGTCGTATTCCAATACAGCTCACACAGAGCATCGGAATTCCAACACAGGGCATCGGAATTATACATTTAGAGTTTGGAGCGCTGTCAGAATTAGTCTCACAATATGCCAAATTTAGGTCACACACAGCGTCGGAATTCAGGGTTTTTGTAGATTTGAATTCTAAAGGCTTTTAAATAAATATGGCAACAGTAAACAGTTTGTGACATTTCATCGTTGCTGGCGTGGAGTGTGGCGTTTTGAGAGTGACGTAAAGATATCAGAACTTGAGTTGCGCATACGGTAATCTTTTTATAGACATTCATTTCTTGGTGCGTCCTTAATGTGTCGGATTATGGTGTGTTTACCGCCTTTCCCTACTTAAGAAATTGGTTAAAATCTTGAGTAAATGAGGAAATTAAAAATGAACTGATTCTAAAAAAGCTCTGGTTTGTCACTGTGCTGAGTACTAAGTACTAAATAAATACTTAGGGTAAACGCGGTATATTCCGACACATTAAGGACGCATCAAGAAATGAAAAACTATAAAAAAAATGTATGCGTTACGCAAGTTCTGTTGCCTTCATGTGACTCTCAAAACACTTCACTACGCGTCAGCAACAATGAAACGTCACAAAATGTTGCCATATTTATTAAAAAGCCTATAGAATGGAAACCTACCAAATCCCTATATTCCGTCACTTTGTGTGGCAATATTTGACACGTGGTGAGTCGTATTGCGTCAGCGCTTCAAATTTGACTGATACGTAATGCCGACATCAACGTATTCGAATTCCGTTTGCTGTGTGAGCTGTATTGGGATACAACACGGCTTTGAATTAGAGCACTAACGAATATTGAACACTACTTAATTTCGTTTTAATTAACAGCTATTAGGCTTTTAATTAAGCAAATTTCAATTTTTGTACAAAGCTTTGAACGATCTGTGTGTGTCCAATTCAAGTTGTGTCGGAATTAGTTTTCATGTGTTTAAATCCAACATCTCAACTTAATCATCTATTAATTTATTTACGACTTGAAATCAGCGAATACAAGTATACTTAAAGGATTCCTAATATATTCACAGACATATTTAAAAGTCTCAAACCATAATATTCTTCCTATAAAAACAGTTATTCACTATTTGGTAGAGGCGTAGAGCAATGTCAACTGTCAAATTTGACACATTTTTCGATGATCTCACCACGTGGCATCAGGCATGCATTGTCTCTCTTTGGATCTCAATATTTTCCCACTAGATGGCCAAGACCTAGTGTTTTGGCAGTATTTTGACTCGCAAATGCATGATGTCACCATTTCAACCATCAACAAACGCATGGAACTAAAACAAAGCTTAATATAAAGGAAAAGCTGGAGAGGTGACGGAATTACCTACGATGTTGGAATATACCGCCTTTACCCTATAAAACTCAAAAATTATCTTGAGCCACTTGAGGAAGAATCTAAATAGGTAGTTCTCCACTTTGTCACAATTTCAAAATATAATGGTGCTAAAATATCTGAAATTAACTCATAGCCTATGAGTTAATTTTACTGAAGAATTAATAGGAAACCTGAAAATAATAGTTAGGTATTCCAAATAAAGTGCTAAAAATTGGTCTATTCTTGAAACATAATATATCTAATTCTAATAAAGGAAAAAATTCATTGCTTTTTCACTTTTATTTGTATTCAACTTGTATTTATATGGTATTTTTCTCTTTTTAGATGTATAATTTGCATTAAGATCAGAGGAAAATATTTGTTTGTGCACAATGCACAATAAGTGACAAACCAGAGATTTTTTAGAATCAGTTCATTTTTAATTTCTTCATTTAGGTACCTAAGAATCTAAGATTCAAACCAATTTCTTTTTCTTATGTATGATAATGCTGGTGGTAGGTATCCAGGATATTTTACTTGTCTACTTATAGGTATCAAAAATGAAATTGAGGTAGAGTCTAAAAAGCTCTCTGCTTATTATTGCACATAGGCTCTCATACCGGCATATTGGCAATAATTTGGCATAGGTAGCCTACTAGCCTACGGCCTACCATGATTACCGCATACCTAACCAAGTACACAGGAGTGTCATTTTTAAATAATTTCTCAATTTCATGCATTAGGCTACCTCAATCCTCGAATATATATTTATCATACCGTATTTGCACTATTGGGCGTATCCTATTGCAATGGATTCTAATCTCTAATGTCGGAAGTTTATAGCCATTATTGAAAGAAGTAAGTAGCTAAACGCCGACGCGTGACTAATCGCACAGTAAAAACAAATAAATGGCTTCTATTTTCCTGGTAGTAGCTTCATACAAAACGTGATCCCTATTCTTCTTTGAAGTTTGAACATCATATAAAGTTGAAAATTTTACATCATATTGTTTGTGTAACAATAATTACTCATCACTCTAAAAATTCCTAAAAATAACATTAAGCTTGAGGCCTTGAGCCATGATTTGCTTCACCCTGCCTACAGAATCAAGCTCTGTAGCGTATTGCCGTCAAGTAAGTTGTCAACATAATATGGCGACACCACCTAGCTAGACAACCTATGCGTATCTGACAGCCAAAGCACAGAACTGTCATCACCATTTAAGAGTTTTCCGATTTCATCATATGCATGACGTATCACATTTGGAAGCTGGAAAAGGAAATAAAATTTCCCACGTTTTCATAGGCAAAACTTCCACCATTATTTCTACAAGACATTCCACACAGTTAACATAAATTAGCTGAGACCCTAATTTCTTCTTAGTTTATAATAACCATTTTGGCTTAATTTATTTATCAAGATCTGCCACCGAAACATTACTGCGAGTCCAAGCAGCTCGAATCATTCTAACAATATTCATTTCATCACAAGTCATTTTCACGCAGCACGTTATCGAATATAGAATATCAATAAACCACAAAATTGTGTCTAAACATGAACGACGTAGGTGTATTTAGCCCCAAAAATAAAAAATATCTAAACTCCATATATTTTCAGTATTCGTTCGTCCAATGCCATTTTCAGTGAAACGAAAATGACATTTAAAAAAAACGAGTTATGCTATCAAATCTCTGCTCATGAATCTAATGATTCAGTACATATATCATTAACATTGTTCGTGGGTTAAACAGACAAATCAATCATTCGGGAAGTTTTATTTTGATACGTTGTAAGTTTGAGGAAGATCCGTTATGTTGCTGGGCGTATTGCCACAAGCATAGAGACCCAGCAACGTGGGCGTTCAGGGAGCGTGTCACCCCGAACTGAGGGATCTCGATGCAGGCGTCAACCTCCTGCAGGAGACTGCATGGAAGACCCTCGCGTTCGTTCCTGCGAGGTCAAATGGCAAATGAATGGAAAAAATTTCTGTTACATTTAGTTAAGTCGTTCACTACCAAATTTACAAGTGAAGCTTTATATCTAGCCAAAGAGAACAGGTGAATCACCATATCATTTACTTTTGATTATAATGAATTAGGTTAACGTCTAGGTCGATATATAATAGGTTAACACTAGCGAGGCACAGTACCCCAATAGCAGCAGAGACCGAGCCGGGAAAGAGAAGTTAGCGAGCGACACACTATGAGCGGTCTGTTCAACGGCGATGATGGTGTAGCCAGCGAGCTTCTGGTCGCGGAGATACGTCTTCACATCATTGGTCTTCACCTGCGAAGTTCTTGCCATGTCACTTGTGAATAGCAACTTTATTGAAGACATAAAACCTATAATTTGAATGCAGCTATTCTCAAAATTTTTTCATTTATTGGTGATAGCATTCAATTGAATACATATAAGCAGCATTCTGTTAATACAAGTGTTTCTGTCTTGACAACATGACGGTATTTTCGAATTATCAAAGCAACATTTTTGGAACCAAATCGTATCACTTGCATTGTGTGCTATCTAATTGAATGTAAACGACAGATACCTCAACAAGAGGAATCCAGTTATGAGCGGAGAGACTAAGGCCCACAAAAGCCTGGTCCCGTAAGAGAGCAAGAGATGGCAGCGTTAGGAGTTTGGCCCCCATGACCTCACATGTGCGACACAAGCCGCCCAAGTTGGTGGCTTTGTTCAGCAGTGAACCCACCACGATGACTTCATGCTTTCTTCCTCCTGTATCCTGAAGTAAGATTGGGATAATACTGGATGAGCCATCGTTGTCATAATACAAAAGCGTGATAGCTTTGAAAACGGTCGAAAAAATAAAATGTTAAAATAACCCAATAACAGTTAACTTATGTAAAGGAGACAATGTGAACTCAAATTCAAAAATTATTTGAAAAATCCAACGAATAAATTTTCGACGATAACACTAAATGAAACATCAAATGGTCTCAACTGGATACACCAGATATATTTAAAAAACTCGTGGATATTGTCATCTTCATGCAATCTTAAAAATGCATTTCTCTTGTGCAAGGAAAAGCACAATGGGAAGTTAGATCGATGATACAAGCTTGCGCATGGATGAACAATAACAATCGAGAAATATTTGAAACATGAACAGAACGATCAAATAATTATTAATACTACGGTAGACATGATCATGCAACTAACCAAGCCAGAATCTTGGAGCTGCTGGTGTTTTCCTCCTAACGAGCTCCATGGCGCAACTTTGCGCTGCATGTTCACTATTTGATGGTTTCCGCTTCTTGAATCACTCAAGACGTCCGATACCTCAGAGGAAACGATTTCTACACCGCCAACTTTGGCAGCTTTCGTGACCCATGCAGCAGCATGCGTGGCTTTCAAACTCTCGTCAGCAGCACTTGTGAAGGGCAATGATGTCTTCAGCGAGATTTTGTACAGTAGAGCTGCGTTAAAAAATTCCTCAACAGTCAAAAACTCATCATCTGACAGAAGCGAAAGGCGAGGAACTTCATAGTAAATAGTCTGCAACGTAAAGTTCTCTACTGCATCAAACACTGTGAACAGAAAATCATCCATGTGGATTTCTGAGAGAGCCAACCCGTTTTTCAGTACAGCGAACTTATCTAACAGACTCAAAAGCTGCAATTTCTCACAGTGTCTCCAGATATTGATGACGGTGAGCTGAGCATACAGTCGGCTGTTGTACTGTGGTGCCATGCACCATGGAACAACGTAAGTGATGCATTTCTCTAAGAGTTCTTTGTCAGACACGTGACATGCAAGAAGTGATAAAGAAGCTAAGAACGACGCAACACAGCCTGGACGTTGCTCCACGCCTTCACGACACAACTCCAAAAAATAGTTACTTAGGCCATGATTTCTTATGACCAGAAGAGCCATGAGCCACTCTAGGAAATAGCGCACGCTGGGCTGCTGTTGCTCCTGCACCGTGCTACTGCATAGCCACTGAAGAAGTTCTTTTTCTTCTTTCTCGCCCATAAGAGGCAGTACAACAGCAAGAGCCTGCAGAGCTCGAGTCTTGACGCGGTGAGCAAGGCTGTTACCGAAGTCACGTGTTCTGCGTCCCTCAGACGCTGAAGAGAAGCGCTCGCAAAGAGTCGACACGACTTTAGCAGCAAGGATGCGGTGTACAGCATTGCTCCGGTCTAGTGACAACAGTACGAGTGTCGCCCAGCATCGAGTCTCAGCAGCTTCATGATACGGACTGATAGACAAAAACAAATTGGAAAAGTCATGGCATAAAATTACGAGGCTTGTCAATAACCTACATTTTCTTCGAGAACATATATGAATGTGGTTATAAAAATTTCCCCATGCAACTTGCCATTCAAAAATTTCTAGAAAAAAACGTTTTCATCTCCTATAGTCTATAACATTTATGTTGCCAAATGCGCAACAATTGATTCATAATAATATGCTAATTTATAAGCCTTGTGTGGTGCAATAAGACCTATTTACTGCAAATCAAATAATAAAAAAAACCGCCCACAAGTATTATTTTGGGTCCCGATGCAACACAGGCAGCAAATGTTCATCTATCACCATAAAATATATTTTAATCTGTTCAATTTCAAGAAACGATTTCTCACTTTTTATAGGCAAAGAGATGAAAATATTTCAAGCTGATTGGACAGAATATTTGCAAATAGCTTCTTGACTTCTTCCGTGACTATGGAAGAGAGGCTCACCTCCATAGTCCTTGAACTGCTGGTCTATCGGAGCTAGTCGATGTCTTTGAATAAGAATTTTTTTTCTTGGAGATAATCTCATTTGCAACCACCCTTAAGGCCTTCAACTTTTTGTCTGGAATTGGACCGTAAAGTAGAAGAGGCACCAGGATGGATACAAACAAAGGTGACCAGTCTGAAAATGTACAAGGGGAAGAAAATTAAATTCCACATTGTAAAATGAATGAGTATCAACAAGCATTGCACAATGCAAATCTAAAACAGATCTGGCATTCACATAAATGTTCAAATATTACATTCATTGGGTCAAAACTATAATGATTTTCATCCAGATTAGAGCTTACCCAACGATAGTGCAGAGATGTCAACAGAGGTTATAAAAATAGCCACTCGGCAAGACAGCAATGAAGCAATGCCGCGAGTGCCTTCTGCTTGTACAAGCAGTTGTTGCAATACCTGGTAAGATAAATAATACTGGATAATTCAGCCAAAATATAACATGGATAATTCCATATTATCCATTAATTCCATATATAGGGATAATTCAGCCATACATACGTATATGCCCTACATTATCATAGAAAAATAAATCACGCACTATGAACCAATAAGACAAATGACATATGGGCATCAGAGTTATATGTATGGAACAAGCATTCATGGAACAAGCATTAATAAGAAAAATTAATTTTATCTCTTCAATGAGACAATATGAACTTGGAGTAGGATAAGCAATACAATAAATTTATGACCTATGGTCTCATGACACAAAACATCTCGGCAGTAATACTAGCCTGGACGATTGTTGACAGAACATTTTGAGAGAGAGCTGTTGGCTTGAGCAGAACAGTTAAGGTACAGGAAAGCACATCTGAATTCTGGTCACTGCAAGATGCCAGCTCAGACCTGCAAGCTAGTAGAGCTAGAACCAGGCTCTGCCAGTCTTCCTCCTTGATGACAAAAGGAATAGTATTAATAAACGTGGTTTGAACGGCATAAATTTTTCTTGCATCATATCTTAGTACATCCTGTAATATCTTACATCTCAATACATCATATCTCAAGATCAATAATAAATCTTTAGACTACCTACTATGGGGCCTAAATTTACATTGTATTCAATAAAATTGTAAATTATAAAATAATGTGTGTTCATTATCAGTTGTCAACAAATGAAAAATGTTCTATCAACATGAAGATTCATCAAATGCAATATAATAGAAGTCACAACAACAGCTCAGCTGAAAATAATTTAGAATTAAGAAAAATTTACTTCAAGATCCAATAATGGAAGAGTCTCTGCCAAGCCACAGACTGCTTTCACAGAGCTCCTGCCCACTATAGGCAGCCAGTCCAGCACAAGTCGCAGGCACGCGTTACGGCACTCGGTGCGTGACACAACTTTGGCAGCAACTGTAGAACAGCTCACCTGCAACAAATTAAACCACTTTATACCACTAGTTCACAAACTTTTAATAATGGAGTAGCACTTACAATCTAAAAGGCAGCATGTACAACCGTGTAATGTAGCATACCACTAATATCAAGCATAAGGCATGAATTTGCAATATTAATTCCCTTTTATATCATTAAATGTGTTAACCCTCATGTCAGTCATGTGGAATTCTTACCATAAATTGTCAATAAAAATATCTTCCAAAAAAGGCCCACTAAGGCTTCCACTTCATGTTTGAGGCTATTTTTTCATGCCTCTGCCAATTAACTGACCATGGTTCCATACATAGCATCACCCAAACTATCATGCCCAAAAATTAAAATATGAACACTTCAATGAAAGTTTTGAATTGAGCAACAAAATTAATGCTCTTGCCTCATAGTTTAAAATGATTGGTGTAGCAATACCTATTCACTCATGGTAACTTGTTCAAGTTAAATTGAATTGAGCTAATGATGAAAGTTGGCAAACTACCCTTAACATTTTGTATACTTTAATTTGTATTTTATGAATGTTTTTCAAAGTAATGATGGCATTTGATTAATTATTCAACCATGATTAATCCCACCAATATGCAAAATATTGAAAAATGTATATTAGTAAATATATCTTACAACTGTTCATACACTGGTTATACTGGTTTCAAAAATTTCATTCTCTTCACATTTCTATGCTTGCCAAGGAAAGGGTAATTAGTAATTCATTATTGTAATTCATTCATAATCAATAATAATTAATAATTAATTATTAATGAAATAGTAATTCATTGGTTATGAGCAGGTACTGTAGCAATACAACAGTGGGTGACTGCACCCAGATAGGTAGCCTGTGCCATCAGCTGAAAATTATAAAATAGATTATATTGTGTTATGCAGTTAGTAACGTTTTTACGAGGTAAAGAACTGAAATAAAAATCATTCTTCAATTAAAAAGTTTTCATGCACCACTGGAAAGGCCTTTGCATACTACCACCATACCACTAATGGTAAATGCTATTTTGTAAAATTTTTAATTTAACAACGAATGGGTTCAAAGAGGCCATCGTATGCACTTGTTGGTTGAAGGGTACTTAAATTTAATTACCTGTAAACTACATCAGTCAGAATACAAACATAGACAAACTTCACTGTATATCAGTAGAGATGAGAAAATTAATTTCTATGGCCATCTATCAACAAGCAACTCACCTGTTTACATAACATAGCCAAGCTGTCCCAGATTGTAAGGCTTAGGTTTTCATACTGTTGCCGAAACCTAATCTTTGAGGTTCTTGAGAATTCGGGAGTCTCAGGAGGATTGTTCTCAGCACTGTTAATTGGGTGGAGCATCTTTCTTCCCAGCCAATTTGAAGCATGTTTCAACAGTAAATTATTGGCAGCTTGCAGAATCACCACTGCCTTATCTTCACTCAAATGAGGGTAGAGAATCTTCAATGCAAGGTAGAGCACATTAATGTGATCTTGTTCACAATAGGTTGGCTCAGTACTAACGTCAAAATTATTGAAGAGACACTTGTACTTCAGAAACAATGCAGTTAGACAGACAGTACCAGGATGTTCTTGCATCAGATTTGGATGAAGTACAGAAATATTCTCAACAAGGCTTATCCAGAGAATTAGTGATTCATTCCATTCATTCAAACCAAATTTTTCTAAACTCAAAAAATCTCTTTCAATGAGAGAATTTTGATAAATTTGAAGAATTTTGAAGTAAACCTCTTGATTGAGATGAGAAATATTGGAAGCTCTGTTGATCAATAGTAGGATTTCCTTCAGAGCTTTCAAAGCTTCTAACAATGAATGGTCAGACAGAGTAGAGATTTGTTTCAGTTGAGCAATGTTCATATCTATCATTGGTGGTGAGTTCTTCATTAGAGCCACTTGAAGGCACACAACAAATGAAATAGCTTTGAGCTCAGCTGATGATTCCCCTTCAAAAATTGCTTGAAGTTCAAAATTTTCTAATTGACAGGCCTTTTCTATTAGGCACTTCCATGTGTAGGTGTCATTTGAATAACAACCTTCTATGTCAACTGAAATATATAAGCAACAGAGCTGGTGAAGCGTTAGGCAGCAACAGGAAAGTTGTGATAAAAGAATTTGAAGAAGATTATTTTTGGTGGCTTCCCTCAACAAGGGTTCTTGAGATGACCAACAAGCCTGAGCTGAGTTCAACACAGCTTTAATCTCAGTATAGCTCATTGAATCTGAAGCAGGCAATGCTTTCATAGATGCAACAATGTAGTACAAGGAAACATCTTCCCAGTTTGATTCATGGAAGAGATTAGAAAATAAATGCTTCACCAATAGGCTTGCAGTGTCTGCATCAAGAGTGTTCATGACAACCAAAAGAAATGCTGGAAGGCGTCTCTGTAGAGAGGGTTCTTCATAAGGAGGAGATTGTTTGAGAAATAACTGATAGTTGTGCAGGGCAGGCATTAGATGAGTAGGAATAAATTGCAGCCATGCACTGCTACTGCATTTTTCAGGCACTACTTCCAACAAATGATTGATCCCCCACATGCAGACAGTAGAACTTTCATGATCAAAAAGTCTTTTATACAAAACTAATATCCAAATGGCTAGTGAGGGCACAAGTTTTGATGCAGTCCATAGTTTATTCAGCTTTGTCATTACTGGGCGAATGAAGTGGATTTGGTTCTCTTCTAGCGTTTCATAACATAAGAAATAGTCTTCCCAGATATCACTTTGGGCCAGCTGAACTACAGGGTCAGTAATCTCTTGCAGCATGCCATTCTTCACAAGCCAAAGAGACGATCTCAGCACATGAAGACTTTGCTTCCGAGACAGGGGGTCACTATGGTGCAAGCCCATCTGAATGATAGGTAATAGTTTATCTTCATTTAGAAGTAGACAGGGAGGTCTTTTTTCAGATAGAATATTTACAATAAAAACCAATAGCATGTAGGGAAATGGCTTTTCTTGTCTGATGACACCATTTTCAAAACTAAAAGAAGAAAGGCACTTCAACCACAGCAGATTCAAACAGGAAGATATCTGATCAGAAGATGACTGCTGAAAATAAGGCTCAATAAAACTGTTTAGAATCAGATTTAGAAACTGTGGCTTTTCACATTTGTCAAGGTACTCCAGACAGACAGTAATTAAATTTTGAAGGCTGGCAGCTGCTCTAACACTTGCAGAACAATTAAAAGTCATAACTTTGAGGCAAGAGGAAATCACCCAACTGATGCGCTCTACTGCCAGGAAATTGTCTTCCTCCTTTCCTAATTCCTGCATGAAAGAGACCACTTGTAACAGGAACTGATCCCTTAACTCATGAAAATACTTTTGATCTGCCAACAATTCTTTGCAATGACACACTATGGTACAGATATCATGTAAATAAAGATGCATCTTTTCAGTGTTTTCAATAACATCTACCTTTAATGTTGGTGACAACTGAGAATCAGCTGAATTTTTGGACAAAATTCCAGCAGATGACGACAAAGTAAAGTAGCACTTGAGCATTAATTTCTGCAGCAATAAATCTATTTCCTGTAGACCATAGTTGCATCTCTTGGAAGACTCTAAAAGATTTAAAGATGCAAGCACATCCTTTAATATCTTGACAACAGCAGGTGAGAAGGATGACCCAGCAGCAGTAGCCCTCTCAATGAACACAAATTTCTGATGTTCATCAAGCAGTCCTTGTTCAAAAAGTTCCATCCTATTGTGTAGATGAAAGCAGGTAAATAAAAAAAAAACTTCTAGTAAACTTAGACCATATTAGGACCACTAACTAAACTCAAACTGAGATCACATCAAACTCAAAATTACAATCATCAGCTGTAAGGTAATACATGACAAATAATTAATTGAGACAGTTTAACATACAGCTATAAATGTGTGTATAAATTTATAAACAGCAGGGTCTTATTAGCCCAGATCTAGCTCTGGGCTAATAATTTTTTAATTTGGTACAAAACATACCCGGTATTCATTTCTACAGTGGTTGAACAAAATAAGGGAAATGCATAACATTCCGAGTTCGAAATTACTTAACATGTTATAAACAATATAACCTGACAATTCATAATTCATTGTCTATTATTGCTGCTAAAAGTGCTAATTGATATTTTTTTGCTTTTACAATGTTTTAGTTATTTATTTGCTACAACAACAAAAATGGCAAACTTCTCTGACTTTCAAAGGGCAAAATTGTTGGCTCTTGTATGGTGGGTGCTAGTCACATGCTAACAAATCCCCAATTTGTATGATTCAATGCCTTAGAATATTGAGGCTGCAATTGCCACAGAAGGCAAACATACATCATATAAAAATATATTTCATGGATTTTTAAGGTGTTTCCCACAATTTTGTCAAACCCTCATACGTGTTCAGTAATGGCACTACTGAACACAAAGAAAAAATGCCCATCATTAAGAAGTAACTAAACCAAATTTCCATATGAACAATACTGCAACTATAATGCAAATTAAATAGTCAAACAACACTAATTACATACAATAAGCTATTACAACTATAACAATTGCCAACTGAGAGATGTATTAAAAATCAGTTCATTTCTAAATGGTTGTACTAAATTAAAATTTTCTTCTAATATATATATATGTAGGATAAATTTGGATAATGCTGGTATCCTTGATACATTAGTGCAATTACAGGTTTACTTTTATTTAGGACTCAAAAAGGAAGTCTAAGAAAGTCTCTGATCTACCACTTCCCACAGTGCAGAGATAGAGGAAATGAATAAAGATATTTGGAGACAAATCAGCCTAAAAATCTATGTCTTCAGAAAATCTAGCCAACACATTCCACTTAAAACAATTATTTACATTTACATTTATTTGGGCAAGAAATCCTGAAGGTTTGAGTATTTTTATTGACGAATCTTCAATAATACTGGCAACACTTGCAGCCTAAAATGCAGATCCAGGCAACACAATTGTCAAATTTGGCATAGCAGCCACTAGGCTAGTGATATGAATATACTGTCAGTTGGGGTAATAAGAGACAGGCAGGGTAATTCAGGACAGTCCTCCATTATGGCATAAAATTTTTATAGCAGCAAAACTAACTGAAATATTGCAAAATTAAAAATAGTGGAGTAAACTTCAACATTTTTCCTATCTACATAGCATAAAGGAAGTTGGGAAATCATACATTTACTAGCTGTAAAAAATCCCAGAAAATATGTTTAAAAATTACGGTCAACCGGGGCAACTCGGGACTGGTGGGGCAACTCGGGACGCACCTCTGACACGTCGTAAAACAGTCATAGTAGGGAAACTAATTGGAATATTGCTAAACTAAATATAGTGGCCTAAACAACAACATTTTTCCTATCTATGTGGTATAAAGGAAGTCAAAAAATATGACATTTACTAGCTTTGAAAAATTCCTGAAAAAAATGGTGAAAAACGCTATTTTGAAAAGTTACTTCTGCTAAGGTCTGTAGCAAAAAAAATATTTGCCGTATTAAAAAATTTTACTTACATAAAAGTTGCACCCAGGTGTCGGCTTGAAAACGTACCGTCAATGAAGATGCCATTCGATAGCCCTCGCAAAGAGCTATAAAATGAGCCTAAACTTGTTTATGAAATGTTTCATCGTAAGAAGTTATTAACAAAAAATGCTCAAAACCGTCCCGAGTAGCCCCGGTTGACAGTATATTTTGGAAAAGTACTTCTGCTAAGGCATGTAGTAAAAAAATATTCACTGTATTAAAAAATTTTGCTTGAAAAAACTTGCAGACAGGTGTTGGCTTTAAAACTTTATCAACAGAATTTGCGTACGTACCTCAATCTATAACAAAATAGCGGCCATTTCCGCAAGATGGGTAACACAGGATAACCCTCTCCCCAGGATAATATGCAACACTCCTAAAAATGCATTAACAGCAGAACCTTGTTTAGCAAAGGCTCCAGTCAGCAGAAAAAAATCAGTGAAAAAATTTCACTCAAGAAAAAAGTGCATAAATTGTGCATAGAATGACATAGATAAAATTGTGCACTGAGAAACATATAATGAAAAATAATTAACCTAAACTACAATTCATTTCTCCAAAAAATATGGTGGTTGTCAATAAAATATTCATTTCTGTTACAGTTATGTTTTTGTTATAGTGAATTAAGTCGCTTGAATCAATTAAAATAGTGCAAAATTACAAGCCCAGTCCTGTAAGATTATGGAGGAAATGCTATATGGCTGCTGATATGAAGCTTGCAGTGGACAAGGTCATTGTCAATGGCATGGAAGTTTTTTTTCTGGGGGGGGGGGGTTAAAAATGTTAGGTGAAAAAGGGAAAAAATAGTTTTTGCTGATGAAAAATGGATATGGTAATATCATCAATATAGGGGAAACAAATACAAATCACAGAAAATGTCATTTATCCTACATCTACATCACCTACAAATAAAGAGGACGTCAGAGTACTGTTAGTACCGTCAACCGGGGCTACTCGGGACAAGCGGGGCTACTCGGGACAGGCCTCCGACACGTCGTAAAACTGTTGTAGTACCGTAAAATGGGGTAACTTAGACCGGCGGGGTAACTTAGACTACTTTTCGTTTTTTGAACAAAAACCCCCACAACTCAAAAACTATTTGACGTAGAAAAATTTTGTCAATGGGCATTAAAGGCCTAATACTGAGGCTACATGACACAATAGAAAGATTTAAAAAGTTTGCATATCTGATAGGTTAAAAAATTAAAAATGTGACCCACGAAAAAAAGCTATTATTTAAAGCCTGTCAGAGTACCCCCTCCAATTTTTTTACTTTTTGGTTAAATAACTCCAGGTTTTGATGAATTGTAGTAGAACTCTTCTAGTTAAATATGCAAACGACAAATTTTAGGAAAGTGTCATAGTTTGCAAATGGGGGGCACCGCCCCCAAATGGGGTAACTTAGACCGCCTAATGTCAGCCCTGACGGTGTAACATAGACCGGCTTGGAAGTTAATATAAAATTACCATATATAACATATTTTATGTTTGACAGCCTATTTATGTTTTTTCTTTACGTTTCAGACTCTACAGAGTCGTATATATGGTAATTTTAACTTAATTTCCAAGCCAGTCAATATTACCCCATCAGGGCTGCCATTAGGTAGTCACATTTCCCTCATTATGGGGCGGCGCCCCCCATTTGCAAACTATGACACTTTCCTTAAGTTTGTCATTTGCATATGTAACTAGAAGAAATCTACTACAATGCACCAAAGCCTGGAGTTATTTGGAGTTATTTTACCAAAAAATATAATTGATTTTACCACCCGGTCTAAGTTACCCCAAGAGCTGGGGTAACAAAGACCATCACTTTTTTTGAAATTACATAAAGACTATGAGTGTAGCGAAACTAATTGGAATATTGCAAAACTAAAAATAGTGGCGTAAACGTCAACATTTTTCCTATCTATGTAGTATAAAGGAAGTCAAAAAATACTACATTTACTTGCTTTGAAAAATTCCTGAAAAAAATGGTGAAAAACTATATTTTGTAAAGTTACAACTGCTAAGGTATGTAGCAAAAAAAAATATTCGCCGTATCAAAAAATTTTACTTACATAAAAGTTGCACCCAGGTGTTGGCTTGAAAACGTAAGTGACAGAATTTGCCTATCACATTCCAAAAAGAAATGGCAGCCATTTCCGCATGGCGGGGCTACTCGGGACACCCCCCGGGGGCTATTAGGGACACCCCCAAAAACGCATTTATGGTAGAACCTCAGTTAGCAAAGGCTCCAGTTAAGAACAAATTGATTAAAAACAAAGAATATTGATTACATTTACCTCGCTGAGCGAAAAAAAGTTCACTTATCCTCACACAAATTACAAGCCGTCCTGTATGCTTACAGATACAGAAAAAAATGCTATAAGGCTGCCAATATGAAGCTTGCAGTGAACAAGGTTGTTGTAAATGCTCAATGGTATGTTCATGGATACCATAATATCACATCAATAATACAGTAATATCTCATCAATAATAGGGTACCATCAACTGGGGGATTCGGCCCTGTTCATAATGATGGCCAAAGCGGGGTCATAAACGGTCATAAACATTGGCCAAAGGCACTCCGGCGTTTATGACCCCGGCGTTTACGACCCCAGCATGAATAAAAAACGAGGCGGAAGTCACTCCAGTTGACGGTAATTAATGTTTATGGTAATATCATATCAATAAAGGAAAAACAAGTAAAAATCACAGAAAATGTCATTTATTCTACCTCTACATCATCTACAATGAAAGAGGAGGACTTCAGAGTACTGTTAGTAATGGATGAGTATGCTCTGCATGCTTCAAATGTTTTGGAATGAAGTTTTATTCCCATTGTCCCGAGTAGCCCCGACCGACGGGGCTACTCGGGACAATCTTTATTTTGCGTCTGGCACTTTAGGAATAGCATATGGATTTTTTTGACAATGCCATTTGATAGCCCTGGCAAAGAGCTATAAAATGAGCTTAAATTTGTTTTTGAAATGTTTCATCCTAAGAAGTTATTAACAGTTATTAACAAAAAAACGATCAAATCTGTCCCGAGTAGCCCTGGTTGACGGTAATAAGTTAGTACAATCTGCCTGCTTCAAACATTTGAAAATCAGGTTTTATTTCAAGTGTCCTGGATTACCCCATTTCCAGGGATAATTTGGGATGCTTTTTCTGCATCTGGCACCTTATGAACAGCATATGGAATTTTTCAGATGCCAAACAATAGTCCTTACAGAGACCTATAAAATGAGCTTAAACTCATTTATGAAATGTTTCATGGTAAGAAGTTATCAACAAAAAACCAAAAATTGTCCTTTATTACCCCATTTGACAATAT